CGGTCGATTCTCATTGCTTCTTTCACGTGTTCTGAGCATCTCGATTTGCCAAAATTAGTGGATGAAGAGAAAGAACGGCGCATAGCAATTAACAGAAGAACGAAAAAACATCTAATCCATGGCTTTGTATCTCCGCAGTCCTCTGCTCCTATAGACCGCCGCAGCTTCTCATGGTGGTGATGAGATCAGAAGAAATTTTTTGTTTAGATTTAAAGATAAAATTGGAAGTTTTGATTGAAACCCTTGGGTTTAGTAGATACTCCTAGGGTTTAGTTTTCTTAATTCAAACGAACCTAATTGAATCAATTGAATACATTGAACTCATTGGAGATGGCATTAGCGGCGGATAAATTTGTGTCCGATCTGCAATATTACGCTTCATGTCTTTCTAATTCAATGGTAACAAAAATCCCTAATTTCTTCCATTTTTGCTCCTAGATTGTTCTCAAATTTGAAGATGAATTGGAGGTTTTGATTCGCTTTGTAAACAATAACATCAAAATTTTGAGTTTGGGTTAATTAATTTAAGAAAATTTGAAAACGATCAATGTTTAAAATTAGAGCCCTTGGGTTCACTATACACTATATCTCCTTAGGGTTTAGATTTCTTTATTCAAAACACAATCAATTGAATTTATTGAATTCATCGGAGGAGATGGTGTTGGTGGCAGAGATGTTTTGTGAGTCGGAGATGAAGACGATGGTGGTGATGGAGTTGATGGAGATGATGTTAATGAAGCGACTAAGACGATGAGAAGCGACGGTTATGGCCGGAAAAGTGAGCAGTAATGGAGACGGTGGGAAGCGAGCAAAGACGATGGAATTACGGTGAGAAACGAGCAAAGACGATGAAGACGGTGAGAAGCGATTACGACAAAGGCGGGGAGAAACAGGGGTAAAACCGTCATTTGTCTCTCTCCAAAAATGCCTAAAATCGATACCACGGGAAAAAATGCCTAATTTCAAAGTTTTTTAGGAACAAATGCCTATTTAGACAATAACCCCCAAAAAACGTTCTTCATCATCAATCATTTTTTTAGTAGTATTTTAACGTGGAGAGTATATTCAGTGAATTAACGATCGAAAGAAGGATATATATAGTATGAAATTATATGAACTGAAAGTGAAACAACAATCTCGTTTTACAAAGTGTTCATGGTATCATAGCTATTACAAATGAACATGCCCTTTAATTTGTATATCAAACACTAAATTACTGCATTTGACAATTTGTTTGTCAATTCTACAGCAAGTTGGAGTTTTATTATAATCATAATTTGTAGATTCGTGATATTAGCTGCAGATTCATAAAGATATTTCCTCTATTTTTTAATTTTAAATTAACAAAGAACTTTGTAGCTTTGGAGCAAGACAATTAGTTAGATGATTTGGTAAAAACATTTTCTCAATACACGTGAAAGTGACTAGCTAGTGCACAATACACGTGGTTACCACGGACAGTTTTTTTCTTTTCCTTGTTTTTTTTTTGTTGAAGGTTTTGACAAAACCTTATTTTTACTCTCTTGTATTATGAACGAAATTCATATATAAAACTGTTTAAAAAAAAAAATTAATTCATATAACTGTTGGGAGGTACTTATCTTCTTAAAAGGTGGAAATTTCTTCTCTTGCTACTTGCCAACTAAACTGTTTCATACATTTGTTTGACTAGGAAAATGATTATAATTATTAAATAATACCATTTGTCTTGATATATCGATATCTTTACTAAATACATATAGTTGCTAACCAAGCTTTAGAATTAGTCTTATAGAATTAATCTAATATAGGTTTGTTGGACCCATGATTGATGTATGCATCACGTATACAATTATCGATTAATTTTTGCTTTGTTGAGTTTAATATTTTATTACTGGTATTTAATCTAGAGCTTTGCGTTAGGTCTAGTCACGTCCATTGCATTCTTCATGCAATGACAAACAGAATGGGTTATGTCGACGATATTAACAACTATCGTTCAACAAAGTTGATTAGTGACCTTTGACAAAAAAAAAGTTGATTAGTGACTGTTTGACTACGAGATGATTTTTGACATAAAATAAGATACATCAAATAAATACAATTTCCACCTTTTTTTCGTATAAAGTATTAAAAATGTTGTATTTTATATTTTGTTCACAAATATACCACGCTCATGATCTCGGTCAAATTGCATGGGGTGTTCCCCAATTCAAAGAGTCATACGATAAGTCCCTACCAAGTATTTAAAATGACAAGTACAGTTTCCTACAAAATTAACACTTATTTATAATTTAACACCTAGCTCAACTGATAATAAATCGGGTCACAATATCATTTATTGGTTTAAAATTTGATGAGCTCTTTTCGTGGATTTGAAATCTAGCACAAATATTATCTATAGATTTCTTTTTGATAGATCATATATATTATTCTTATATATCTCTTGGGGGAATTAAAGTATAGTTTGAAGACATCAATATCTAATCATATTCAAATATAGGTAGATAACTTAGTTAACTATAGGTTACAATATCATAACGTTAGATTTTAATGTGGATTATGACCAAAGTGCTTAGTGATAATCTTGTTTTATGTCCTAATGGACCTTAATATAATATCTCTAAGGCCTAATGAGTCAATGTCATCTTCTAAATTCTAATTAGTGGTTGCATGCTTGGTTGATTCACCATATCAATGGCAGTATATATAGGTTTTGATTATACAGTAAAACCTCTATAAATTAATAATTTTGGGACCCTGATATTTTATTAATTTATAGTGTTATTAATTTATCTATAAATCAATACTTATTAATTTATAGCGTAAATTAATATTTATTAATTTATAAAAAGTTTTGTTTCAATTGTGAAAACTTTTTTAAGAAAATACGAGTTAAAGCAATGTGATCTAAATAAAATTTTATGTTTTGAATGTTATAAATTTTATAGTTTTAGCCTTAAACACTTAATATTTCGAAGATAAAAATAATTTATTTTGACAACGAATAACAACGATTATAGAATTCACATATGCAAACGATATACATTAATTAAAATTCACAAATAGTGACATTCATTGTTGTATTTTAAAAATCTATACGACTATTAAAACAAAAATTATGCATATTTAAAATTTGAAAACTTACAAAAACTTTTGGCTATTTTTATGAAAAACACTAAAACTATTATATATATATATATATATATATGTGCAAATTTACATGATTATTAATTTATGATATTATTGGGACTATATTTTTACATAGAGATTTCAAAAAACTTATTATCTTATTATCTTATCGAATTTGGTTAATTTTTACACTGATCCGACTCGGGACCGGCCAAATTTAATAATTTATCGTGTTTATTAATTTATCGAGTATTAATTTATAGAGGTTCTACTGTAATCAATTTTTATTAAAAGGATGCCCCATTTTACGCTAATGAATGTCTCTAATGTAAAACAAAAACAAATTCTTATGCCACATATGATATTATATAAAAGTTTTAAAAGCTTTTCATATGGCCAAACTTAAAAAAAAAAAAAAAAAAAATACCATAAACTTTAAATTTCACTTTCAAAATTTCCACAAAGATAGTAAAATTTCATTTCAAATATTAGATGTACAAAATGTGAAATCATTAAATTAGTTTTATAGAATATTTTGAAGTAAAAAAAATATATCAAAATTATAAACGTTGCAATTCTAGTAAGTAAGTGCAAACTTTCATCGCATTTCCAAAGTAATTTTTTTTGGAAACATCAAAAGTGAAATTTTAATGATTCTAATTTGATTGAAAAATTAGCCTTCAATGTTTTTAAAATGTATTTGATGAAATGGCATTGAAAAGATAGTATTTCATGATTTAAAATTAAATGATCAGAATTTGTAGTCTAGTTATTTATGCTAAATATTGTCGTTATGTCACCATTTAAATCTACATATTACGATATATTGGCAAAAAAAAAAGTTAAATCTTAACATGAAAAAAATAAAGTAAGAAAAAAAATTGCAAACCCATTAAGCTGTGTAGTGATTGGAGGACAAAAGAGTAGTATTGAAGAGAGAGATTGACTTTAGTCCAAAAAAAAAAAAAAAAAAAAAAAAAGAAGAGACAGATTGACAGAACATATATAATTCTTTTGATTTCAAAACATCGTGATGAAAAAAAAAAAAAAAAAAAAAAAAAACATCGTACAAAACTTTTGTCTTCTCCTGTCACTTTCAATTTCTGTTATCACCAAATACAGAATCCATGACTTCTAAACTATCGATTTACTTTTCTAATTCACTGATAACTTTGGGCTTCAGAAGCCCAACTAGACAATTGAGAGATTTTAAAGCCCAACTTAGCGTTTTCAAATATTGTAAACCAATCCAATTGTTACGAATTTAGACCGGAGGGATGTTAAGAAAATTTTAAAATGATCTTTAACATTTAATTGATTAAATTAATTCTCAAACGTGCATTAAATCTAAAGTGGGTTTCTTAGCTAAAGAAGAAAAAAAAAAGTTTTTAGCCAAAATTTAATACTAAAAAATTCTTAAGAACCAAAATTAAAAGACTATTGATAATGATGCTCTTAAAAATTCTTAAGAACCAAAATTAAGAGCATGATTATCAATGAGCTCTTAATAATGGTTCTTAGAAATATTTAAGTAATAAATTTGTAAAAGTGATAGTTAAGAGATTGTATTTTTGGGTTAAGATTTTTTGTGTGTTTAATGGTAGGCTCTTAACATATGGTTCTTAGAAAAAAAAATATTAATATAAAAATAAAATTTATAATTATAGAAAATTAAATAATTGTTGCAAATTAAAAAAATTAAAACATACATGAGATACAATTTATAACATAAATAACATATAACACAATTGTTTTAAACTTGATTTTTGGAATATTTTATCCATACATGCTCGACCAAATCCTTATTTAATTGTTGATGCATACTTCGATTACGAATTCAAGTTCTAGTTGTCATCATATCGACGAGATTTGAAGGCATTTATGTAGAATAAGTGAAATCCACCCGTGATTTCTTTGTAGTTTGTGATCACACATATTTTTCATTTTTATCTTGTGGATTATTTAGATTCGGAACCTATGCTTTCTAAGTATAATACAACTGACATTTGACGATTGAAGTTCAACATCTAAATTGAACAACAAAGTCTGAATTAAAAATGAATTACGACCAAAGTTCGTTGTGCTCGTTAGATAACGTATTGGGAACCCTCTTTGGTTTCTTTAACCGTATTGGGACGTCTCTGTGCAAGTGTTCTCTTAGTGCTCTCGAGGACACCAAAGAAGATTGAACCTCCAATACCTATCCACAACACTCTTGGCCCAATACCTATAAGTCAAATCTCGTGTAAGAACTCTACTCTTAAACCTGCTCAGTTTACAATTGACTTTCTAAAGGATTCTACTCGAAACTTTGAAGTTGTGTGTGTGTGTACCTTTAAGAGAGCAGGAGCTCCTTCCTCCCTTACAATTGTTTGAACACAGTCAACGATTCTTTGATATTGTTTGGTTGATCCCTGAAAAATGTCAAAGAAGGGCAATAAGATGATTGGATTTTGGAGATACAAAGGGAGACTTCTAAAGTGTGAGGATACTATTATTCCCTGAACCATTAATCTTGTCTTAATAACATCAAGCGGAGTGGTGACTACTCCGGTCAGAGCACCTGCATAAACAACGACGATATCAAAGCACCGCTCATTAACTAATAGAAGCCATGTTTAGACAAGCTTCGAGCTTTACATTACAAAGGTTTAAGTTTACACACATACATAAAAGAATTAATTTATAGATCGTTTGCTCCTTTTACAAAGGTTTAAGCACCGCTCTCTTGAAGTTTCCTCTTTGCAAACTCAAACTTCATCAAGACCTTTAAATTTCTGCAAGGGACAAGAACATAAACACTATCAATTTTGTGTCCAAGAATAGGATAAAAAAACAAGATCTTTGTGTAGCTAAGAGTTACGAGGATCTGAAACAAACATCCCCGAGAAAATCCGAACAACTTCGCTCATAATGGATGATTAGAATTGTAGAACTCTTCTCGCACCGTAGGCCAACCAATAACCATGTATATCTCTCACTCTCATCAGCCATCTAACCTTCCATTGAGAGAACATTTCAAGATTTAGGCTTTTTCTATGCAAATAAATATAAACAATGCAAGATTTAAACTCCACTAGGTGTGACTATGCCAAGATCACCACAAGGCGTAGCCACAAAAACATCATGACTAAATAAGCAAGACAAGTGATCGAACCTTTCACTTCCCATCGGGAAAATGCAAGAAATTAAGATAGAAGACAATTCAAAATTTGAATGACAACAACAACAACAAAAGGGTCAAAAGAAATCTTCACACTTGCAGATATATAAAACTGATAGAGAGAAAGAAAAAGATTTACTTTAAGAGATGGAGCTAATTGAATGAAATCACCAATGATAAAATCTACACGATTAGCAACTCCATAAACCATAGCATTGTTCATAGCCAATTCAACTTTCACCGGATCAATGTCAATAGCAACAACAGAAGAACATCTATAAAAAAAAAGACTGTACTTCTTGATTTAGAAAACATCTCACACACCCATTAAGATCACACTTCTTGATTTTGAGAGAGAGGAAAGAAAAAGGTTTACACTTTAGCAAATTGAATAGGGTAACCACCAACGCCTGAGAAGCAATCAATGACCACGGAAGAACGACGGCCGGTGAACTTCTCCCGATTTCGCAGCCCAACCTCGCCGGTTACAACCACGGAAGAACGACGGCCGGTGTTCACTCACATCGGAGATTCCTCCGATTCATCGTCAATTTCCCGGAATCGTCGATTTCCCGAAATCGTCGAAGGATTCTCTGTTTCGCGTTTGAGAGAGAGAGGGGGAGAAAGAAAGAAACGACACGTGGACGCCTCTTAGTCTTAATTTTAGCTCTTAACTAAGAAACGTTTCTTAGTATTATACATGCTTTCTCATTTATTTTTGCTCTAAGATTTAGTTAAGAATTCTTTAAAAAACCACCGTTAATGGTGGTCCAATATCAAATAATGAAGGTTTGCTATCAAAAATATTATGGAGCGGTTTCCAGTAGTTTTACATGGTTTTTTTTGTTTTTATTTTTTTAGTTTACATCGAAACTGTTTAACCTTTAATAAGAGTTTGTACTAGATCAAGGTTTAATTCAGTATAGTTTTTGTTTTGGAACACTTTTGCTTCCACTCTTGACTTTTTAACGAAATATTTTGAACTTCAAGAATAAATAACACACATAACAGCATTTATTGAGGGATTGGAAGAGACTAAAGAGTTGTGTCAACGCTCATTGTTTGACAACGTTTCGGTCTCCCACCATTTTAATGTTTTTTTCCTATGCACGATTATTACTTGCCCCATTAGGTCACTTTTTCCGTCACAATATGGTTGCTCTAGTCACAATCTGAAACAGAGTATGCATGTACCAAATCGAATTCTGCAACACAACAATCTGCTCCAAGATTTTCACAGCTTCATCTCATAGATGGCACTCAAGATTAGGATTCCCAGAATGAGAATGTTTGGCAACACTGATATAGATAATCCGGTTGCTAGACTAAGATAAATATATATGTAGAGACATTTGTTAACCCATTTTTAGAATTTCATAATTTGGGCTAATATTTGATTGTATAAGTTGAGCAGGAGCCATCACACTAGCTAAATCCATTTCCTTTTTTTTGGTTATCAAACTAGGTGGATCCAGTCTAGGAGCACCATTAACACAACCAAATAAAACAATTGAATTGAAGCAGTAAGAGAAAACCATTAGATTTATTAAATTTTACATCCATATATGAATACATCACACTTTCGTGTCTACATACTGAATCAGTAAGAGAAAACCATTAGACACGAGAGGTATCTTTAATTATAAGAACATTAAGCTTGTTCATTAGGTGATCAATGTTCCAAAAAAAAAAAAAAAAAAAGATAAACGTAATGCGTCTTATTTGTTTTTAAATATTTTACTTTCAAACCGACAAATATTTTGGGACCCATTCCTATAAGAATGTTCTCCAATTTGATAGAGAAAGAGCTTGTAATATTTAAAACAAAACGAAAGAGCTAAGAACTTGTCAAGTTATGAACATGACACATAGAGAGTTAAAAGAAACTTTGTATATTTTAGTAAAAATAATTTCATAGAGTAACTAATTTTATTTAACAGTTTGATTTTTACAAATATTTTAATATAAATACAAAATTTCTGAATAGCAATATGTATTTTTACTAAAGAAAATATACATTCCTGACAGCTCAAGTATTATACCTGACAAATTAAGTATTGAATAAAAATTAACTTTTTAATTTAATTTGTGTGTATGTCATCAGATGAGTGTATGTCTGTGTAACTGAAAAGGCAATTTTGCTAAGCATATTCTATCGGATGATCCAAAATTCTCCAAAGCATATTCACGTAAGACTCCCCTTGTTTCCATCATCTGCTTCCACTTATAAACATTTGTATTTTAAATTACTTTCACACTCTCTTTTCACCATATATGTGTTCCCCTTTACACCAATAATCTATTTACTCGTCTTTCTTCTTTTCTTTTTTTGACAGCACTCGTCTTTTTTCTTTCCAGAGTTTTACTGTCAAAATAAACTTGTACATTGGTGAATTTTCATATATTTATTTCGTATTTTACGTGTATATGATACCAAACATAATATCATATACCATATCTATTAACAATATACACCAAAAAAAAAAAAAAACCATTTATAAAGAACCTTAACAAACATGAAATATATTGGTTGATTGTTACAAATGTTCTTTTTTTAATGAAAAAAGAAATGAGAAAAGGTGGAAAGAACAATATAGCTTATGTAATATGGGGTTTCGGTGGTATCTTTTTTAATGTCTTCATGACCATAGACAACAAAAAAACGCAAAAAGAAAGAAATAAAGGCTATAAAACCCCCTAGCAAGCCTCCATTGTTGAACCCTCTCTTAACTTGGCAAAACATCACAAAACAAATGGAAAATGGCCATCCCCTAGGTTATTCATCTTTAGGGGATGGCCTAAATACAAAAGGAAAACTCTCTAATTAAGTGGTTTTGGTACTCATGTAAGGAAAGTGTTTTAATTAAGATATGGAGCAATGAAGATTGCAGAAGGCTGATGTTGAAGAGACGGCTGATTCAGACTGCGAGTTTTGTTTATCTCCCTCTATAAATTGGGCAACTTCTATCCTTTGGCAAGCTTCGGTTCCCCTCGGAATCAGCAGATTATGTATCTCTTATGTAATACTCTCTCTCTTCTCTATGTTTTGTTTTATCTTCATTAAGTTTGGGTGTACCCACTCCCGTTGTTTGTTCTTGTGTGAGGAATAAAAAGAATAATCAGGTTTGAGAAATAAAAAAACTAGAGTAGTTTTATTGAGATTTTTGTTTTTCATTAGTATCTAATAAGTTTGGAGAATACTCAGAATAGTCAGACCAAAGATGTGCCGGATAACCTTGCGTTAACCATTTTTAGAACAATTAACCAAAACTTCAATAAATACGAGCAGGATACTGGTCTTTTTTTTTTTAACTTTTTTGTTATTTCCAATTTATGAAAAGAAAAAAAGGAGTTGTTGACAACAACAACAAAAAAAAAAAAAAAAAAAGGCATTTATCACCTTCGATTTTAGTGTTTTTTTCAAGGATATTCATATTAGTTCCATTCAACAACAATTTTCAGCTATTTGTTATTTCCAGTTTATCACTTTTGGTACTTTTAAAATAATAATTTATTACTAAAAGAAACTCACTTAATTGGAAGAGAACTATCACAAGGGAATTAATATATATTGTAACTGAAATTTCTGTGTTATTTTTTTAGTTACACTTTGACATATACAAGAAAATTAACAAAATCACGGAAGCAAAACATGTCACATTACAAGTATTTGAGTAATATAAATTGTTTAACGAAGGACAACTAAATTTAAATTACCTCGGCCAATAAGTCAAAACCCTCCAAGTTTAGTATTTGTTTTCAAATTTAGGCGTCTCACACATGGGAGTGGTATAATAAAATGGCCCGACCACATACTTAACCAGATCCTTGAATACCATGAATGGTCGAACTAGCTTCACTCCGGTTTGACCATTCCCAAAATTGGTGGGGATGTTACAAGACTGGTCTGGAGAAGACACGAGCCGGACATTACAAAGTTGAGGCTTGAGATCCTTGCCGCCGTAGAGGACTTTGTTGACGATTAGATCGAACTGGCCTCTCTCATCGGTCTTATCGCTGCCATAGTATCTCACTCTTCTCCTTTCGTCCATACATGTGATTGATACCACTGCCCCTGAAATATACAAAGTGGAATAATTTGGTTAATTAAATCCTGTTTTGAGAGTTTTCTCACGGTTTGCAAAATAGAAAAAAAAAAAAAAAAAAAAAATCGATCACTGAAAGAAAAAATTATTTCATTTTTGTTTGATACAGTAGTTAGCTTCTGCAGTCTTGGTTTTATAGCCTTTTTGGATATAACTGCAACTATTTTCGTCTACCACAACCACATATTAAAGTTTGTACATCTAGTTATGAGTGATTATCACATGTTGTACGATAGAAAATGTAATTCATATGTTTATTTTTTTATTTTTCATACTTATTCGAAAATACAGAAAATTTCATTTGTAATCAATCTTTGTTTCATTTTGGTAATATATAAATTCACATTTATCCAAAAAAACGAATATGGAGAAAATTATTGGAACTATTTTTGGATACCTTTGATGGGTTCAGAACCGTTGATCCATTCATCGTAGTTCAGAGAACAATCTTGGCACATTACTTTTCCGGCGACGTGAATCACATCTCCATCATTATCCGCTGCTACCGTGGTGATATGAGTCACACAACTCACCAGAAACAATATCTCTATTAGCAGAACCAATGTCCTGATCCTCTGCGCCATGACGACTTCTGTCGACTTTTTTGAATTCGATGATTTTTAGATTATGCTCTTTGATGTAAGAAAGGCTTGGTGTATATATATATAATATGAATTTAGACTTTTTGGTTGAGGAGGAGATTATGTTATATGTGTGGAAGGGCACTACATGTAGACGTGCGGTCCATATATGGTCTCAATCATTTTCTGATTAAAAAACTAATACTAATTCATTTCGTTAACATTATGAGTTTTATATATATCATATAAAATTTAAAAACAGGAAATGTTTATATTGGCTTTCACAATTTCACAAAATATGTGAAAGAATTTTTTGTTGGTGGCGTTATGATTATGAACCTAAAGTTGACCAAATCTTCGTTGTTATTTCACAACGTTTCCTTTTTAAATCCCTTTTGGTAATAGTCCCTACAAAGCCAAATAGACAATGTATAAGTGATAAAAATATAAAATTCACAAAGGTCTCTCCTTAAACTTATCCCCACCACATATATACTTATTCTTCCTCCTCTTTTCGCTCCACGTTTCGTACTTTAACACAACAAAACACACACACACACAAGTATTTTGGTCTGAATCTGATACCTCAATACACCAACAACAATGGAGTCACTAAAAATATTCATCTCTCTTTTTCTCTTCTCATTCTCATCTTTCTTCTTAGGTAATTATACTCATACTCATCTAAAAAGCTCTTAATCACATAAATGGATTCTCTGAAACCCATATATTACTAATGATTAATGTTTTGAAGGTGTTGAATCGGATCATCTTCAGCATAGTAACTTGAAGAGATTGAGACCGAATAGACTGTTCGTGTTTGGAGATTCCTATGCAGACACCGGAAACATAAGGAAGTCTCTCTCCGATTCTTGGAAAATTCCTTACGGCATCACTTTCCCCCAAAAACCCTCCGGTCGTTTCTCCGATGGCCGCGTCGCCACAGATTTTCTAGGTTTTCTCTCTCACACACTTTTTTTTTTGTCACAATAAATGAGGATATGGATGGTGATATCGGTCACCAGATTCAACACCAACACTAACAAACCATACATTATGGGCTCCGGCCTCCGGCCATTAGGTTTTGTTAGGTTACGTAGATTAACGTCCTAATTATCGAAAAAGGAAAAAGTATGAGTCTACCATAACGCTGACGTGGAAATATTAGAAAACTCATTGAAATTTTGATAGGACGGATTTTGTCTTAGATTAGTAAAGTTGAAAAGATTAGTAACTGCTCAATTTATTTTGAAGATTCTGAATTTTTTTTTAAAAAAATTTCATCTTTGAGTTACATTAATTAAACTTTAAAATCGAAAAGAAAAAAAAATCAAGTAATTACTTTAATTTACGATCATCTTCGAAAGATCAAATGGCTTGCAAATATGGTGGGATAATTAATCCTGATCCTGCGTAATATCTATAATCTGCACATTTTATTTACATATTTCGATTGTTACTTTCGAACCATTTATAAAGTTTTGGTTCAATTTTTACACCAATCTTTTGATGCATGTGTGCAGCAAGATACTTGGGTATAAAGTCACCAATTCCGTACACGTGGAAGAATTACGCGGGAAAGGAACGGCTATTGTATGGAATGAATTATGCGTATGGAGGAACAGGAGTGTTTAAGACTAAAGATAATCCTTTGCCAAACATGACAACTCAGATTGATTATTTCCAACGCGTACTCGCCGCCGGAAATATCTACTCTCCCTCCGATCTCCCCTCCTCCCTCGCTCTCGTTAGCGTTGCCGGCAACGACTACGCCTCTTTCTTGGCCCTAAAACGCCCACTGACCGTAAGTACATATCATAATATGTGTGCGCTTTTATTTGTCAAAATTTTTTGTGCACTTAGGATCCCATGGTTTCATATGAAAAGATTTGCTTTCAAGGCAACCCTAATAATTAACATGTAAACATAAGCCCAAACTGTATCTTGCAGGAGTTACCGGCATTCATGAAGCAAGTTGTTGATCAAATTGCGGTAAATGCGATGCGCATCCACAAGTTGGGAGTGAATAAGATATTGATTCCTTCAATGCAGCCACTCGGATGCCTCCCTAGCATTACAGTCTTTACTTCATTCCAACGTTGCAACGCCACAGACAACGCATCAACCAAACTTCACAACTATTTGTTGCATAAAGCCGTCGCCAGGATTAACAATGAGACAAAGCCATCCACTTTCGTCGTTCTTGATCATTACAACGCCTTTTTGACCGTTTTCAAGAACAAAGGACCGGAACCTGGTAAAACCAAAAATAAAAGTTGAAATTTGGGATCCTAAAATGTTATCTTCTTTTGTGTGATCCCCATATCTTAGGAGGTTTGTGAATCTCTCAGGTGTTATGAGGTTTGGGAACCCGTTGAAACCGTGTTGTGTCGGGGTCAACAGCAATTTCGACTGCTCAAACGTTGACGAGAAGGGTGAGAAGAAGTACACAATTTGTGAAGATCCAAAGGCTGCCTTCTTTTGGGACATCTTTCATCCGACTGAAGAAGGATGGAGATCAGTTTACTCAGTTTTACACAAAACTCTAAAAGACGTTTGGATTTAGGAGTAAGACTAATTATATGTTCTTAATTCTTTTTGATGTTTTTATATCTTCACTCAGATTTGTTTTGTAACATTTGTCTCGGCTTGTCTTTGTAGTAAAGAGAGTTTCACAAGTCAAGCTCACTGGTTCGAGTCTCAACACAAACAACTGGTTGATATTATAAGGATCGTCGAATTCATGGATAAAAAGCAATGATTAAAAAAAAAATGAAATCTTACTATCTTCATCATTTGATATATCTTGTTGAATCACAAGCTGTTCTTGAATTGATAGCTTGAGACTTATATGACTAATAAACTCAGAGAATGAAATTTGTCAGTGTTTTTAGACTCAATGCAACACTGAGTTCCACTATTTATAAGTCTTATTGCAACGAAATCAACAAACCCCACTTGATGTTCTGTGTCCGAAACCAGCACCAAGTTCCAATCTTTATCACTATCCTACACAAACAACAACTTTAATCAAAAATGGCAAGCTTCATAAAAAAGTTCCTTCTACAGTTACTCCAATGAGAATCAAAGGGGGTCGAAGCAAATCTAGGTTCCGAATCGGCTCAAAGAAACCCTAGTAGAGCAATTCACCCGAGTCTCACCTACTACGACATCAACATGAGCTTCTAAGGCGGCGCTAGGGGCCGATGGGCTAAACTAACCATGCATCGATGCATAAACAGATAGTGAAATCAACAGAGGAGACGGGCGAATCGTTGGCAGTTTTTTACAAGACAGTGACGAATGTCTACGTGACTAGGGTTTTGGCAGAGGAAGGATTGAAAGTGGAGATCTTTCTGAGGGTTTTTGAGATTCGTGGGGCTTGGAGAGATGAGCAATTTCATGGGAAAGAAGGAGATTAGGGTTTCGAAGATTGAGATTGTTATGTCGACTTCTGTGATATGTGGATAATTCGAGAAGGCATCTCGTGAGACACGATTCTGTTAAAAAAAAAGAGTTTTAGCAAATATAGGGTGTGATATACTGCAAAAATGAAATCTTACGTTTGTGCTATGGCTTTCTATCGAATGACTGGATAGTTAAATCTCGCTAATCATGTTTTAAATTTTAAATTGATTCTCAAAAAAAATAAAGTTTAAGTTGTGTTTGACTTTTTTAAAATGTTACAATTTTGGTCTGACTCAAATTTCCATCAAAACTCAAAAGCATGAAAAATGCCAAGTGTTCATATACTAATCATGACGAATGTAAGAACTTAAAATCAAATTGTTTAGCAAACAAAAAAATGCATTATTATATCTAATTTATTTTGCCAAATATAATAGGGGCTCGATGAAATCAAGGACAAAGGAGATTATTACATCAATCAATGCGACTTATACCCAAGAACAAGACCCAATGTCTCAAAGAGACTAGCTGCTATAGAACTTGGTGGCGAAAGAAAGGCCTTCCTCTGATAACACGTCAAGACTCTCAACTGAAGGTTGTGCTCGTGCCACTTTAGCAATAGCCTTGTGTTCCTCTTGAGTTCCTCCTTCTAGAAACACTCCTACTACTTTCCCATCTTTAACCCAATACGTCCCAAACTTCGGCTTGGGAGATTTCGGGTCATTATCTCCAAACAGTACAGATTCTCCAACGTTGTCCCCATAAAATTTCCACGAAAGATTGAAAAACCGAGAGTAGAAATAGGGAAGATAATCGTAATCTGGGATCGTTTTCCCTTCTTCAGCCGCTTTGATTGCCTGCAAAAACCATAGAGATGCACATCATTAATATATAATTATTAGCTCAGAAGAGTTTGGTATACTCGACTATAGAATCAAGCTCGTAAGGCTCGTACTTTGACTGCTTGTGCAGCAGATTTGCGAGCATTGTCGGCGTGTTCAACACGCCTCATCCCGCCATACATTTTCATGGGGAATGTGGCTACATCTCCAAGTGCGTATACATCAGGGACACTTGTTTTGAAGAACCCATCAGTCTACAATCAAAACGACTAATCATTAATCACTTATGATGGTAATTAACAAGAGCTCTGTTTTCCTCCGGTAGGGTTAGTCACAAACCTTTATTCCACCCTTTTCCTCTTCAAGTTGGCCTTTGAAGAGTGAGGTGACCGGTCTAGCACCGACACCGGCGACCACTATGTTAGCTTCTAGGGTTCTTCCATCCTCTAGTTTCACCTCAGTGACCTCTCCATCTGAGTTGGTGCTGAATCCAGTGGCTACAGTTCCCTTGATGATTTTGATTCCCTTGTTGGCACAGTAACCCTCATAAAATGAAGCTATCTCAGCGGTGAAAAACCGGTGTACTATACAACGATAAAACAGAGGAAATATGTTAATAAAACAGAGTAATTATTTAGCTAAAATGTTTTTGTTAACCATCAACTTACTAATCCAAGGTTCTGGAAAAACCATGGTCACTTCATGATTATTAGCCCTTAGAGCAGAACTTATCTCAAGCCCTAAGAAACCGCCGCCAATAACCACGGCCTTTCCCCTTTGCACATATAGTTCCATAGCAAACGAAAGCTCATCACTATCTTCGATTTCTCTTAAGTAGAATATATTCTTAACATCTGCTTCTTGGACGCCAATTTCTGACAATCTTATGTTCTGCAAAAAATATTAGGGGTTCTCGAGATGAGTCACGAGGGAACTTAGAATAAAAAGAGAGAGGAAGGTATTGTTCTCACAGTAGAACCGGTTGCAATTAGCAAAGTTTGGTACTTGTAAATTTTTCCATCGTCACTAACAAGTGTCTTTGAAGCAAGATCTGCTTTGACTATCTCTGTGCTCACGATTAGATCAATCCCTGTAATATTTAAAGACCTCAGAATCATCAGAAACATTGCGAGTGAAATCACCGAGATTTCTTGGAGAAGACATAAACAAAACATTACCTTTCTCTTTGTACCAATTAGGGTACTGCTTGGCTTCTCCAGTTCCAGCACAGACATAGATATTTGCAAGGGTCGGATTGACTGTAATGATGATCGAAATTAACCAAAATTCTGTAGCAATTAAAATTTATCTATTGACAGCATGTTATAGAGTTAAACTTTACCTTCGAGGTCGATATATGTCTTGGTTAGTTCAGGACGTTCAAAAGGATGCACCTATTGAGACACACACAAAAAAACATGGTTATGAGCTTCAACATCAATTTTCAGACTAGACAATCATATATTAAGGGTGGTGGCATTATTTCTACTTTTTTTTTTTTTGATCAACAACGTTATTTCAACTTTCTAAAAATAGTTCTTTTACAACTTTTGACGCAAATGTGCAACTAGAGTTTTATCTTTTGCGTTTGTATTTGTGTTTGCAAACAAAAAAAAGGTCGTGATATTGAGTTAAGAGTTGTGGTTTTATTTGGAAAAACAAAACACCAAATTGTGAGATGCAAACTCCCAAAAAGGAAAAAAATTCGTACTGGTTCCTTGGAAATGATTGCGAGTTCACCAGGCTTCAGGCCCTGATTCGAAAACTCTCTCGCCGCGTAACCCTGTGATTTTGAATGCCAAAACAAAAGCAAATTAAAAAATCAATTCAAATAGTTATAAATGCGGATTCGTCTGTGCGACATGAAAATCTCTCGAATATTTAATTGAAGCAAAGCATAAACAGTATTTTGTTTTGTTTAATAAGCATCAAGGAATTTTCATGAAAAAGTGAGAGCAAAATCGAAGAGATCTAGAGAAAGGAATTCGTAAGCAAACCACGGACACAAAATAAGCGATGATTCGTAATCCAAAAAAAAAAACAGAGACGATAAAAAAGTCTCTTCACCTTCAAACTAAACAATGCGAGTTGATAAAAATAAAAATGTTGGACTGAGACATGTAATTTACTGGATTGTATTAGTGTTGTTATTGTTTAAATTCGATATACAAAATGTTAAAAATCGAAAAAATGCATTTACTTACGCCGGCTACACCACCTCCAGTGATCACGTACTTGTAGCTTTTCTCTTCCGCCATTAATGAATAAAACTTCTTTCTGATCAGTTTCTTTTCTGGTATATTAATGGGAAACTGACTTGAGGTTTATATAGTGGAGAGACGATGATGCTCTCGAGTCTAGGTGTCTGTATTTGACTAATCTGACTCAACGTGTTTAAGGCATATAAATAATTTATTAAGACTATCATGTATTGGGGATGATAAAATAGTCATATTGGGAAAGACTTGACTATTATATAAACCACACCTTTAACATTCCTAATTAGCTATTATAATCCGAAGAAACGACCTGCTGCCTAAGTAACATGAAAAAACGTACTTATCACGTTGGATTTGTCTTTCCTCTCCTATTACGACGATCGAACACCATTATTATTTTTACTCAAAAAAAAAAAAACAAAAATGTTTGTCATTAAAACGTGTATGCTAGCTATTAGTTTGGTACAGACGTTAAATTAAAGAATTATTTAGTTAATCATAGTTTCAGATACTGAATATAAAATTTTGTTGGCATTATTCACTCAAATCTCAATATTCAAATTCTGAATAATTTAATATGTCAACTGTAGAACTTACCTAGTTACTACATAGTTGGAAAAATTTGCAAGCAAACATTTTAACTGTTCAAAAAAAAAAACTGTGTTTACTGTTTAGTCACGGACAACCATAGTGACGAGAACGAACATAATCAAGAAATTAAGAGTGGATATGCAGATGAAATAGCCAACAACACCAGACAAGGAAATATAATTAATTAGACTCAGTCTCATTTGCGGAAGTTTGGATGAAGGCTTTGGTATCATGAAAAGCGGTAAAACTTCATTTTATTGAATTGAAGATTCATACATGCAAAATCCAAAGCCAAACTTATATAGAAAATATAGATAGATCATAGATCTAATGAAAACTAAAGAATATGAAATCAAATAACTAGATATATATATATTAAAATCTTCTTGTGACATATATCTTCGGTAGATTGGTATCCCGGTTTCGTTCATCTCTTCCAATCTTGTATCTCTACTATCTCCGTTTCTCTTAAGAAATATAAAGAAGATAATGAAGGAGGTGGAATTATGGGTGATGAGGCCATAGAAAAGTGTCGATCGCAAAAGCTCGCTTCTCATGGAGAGTATTGTCATGGAAGGCAAGAAGTCCATAGTCTGAGAGAAGCAAATCCAATCTCCACTCTTCCATCTCCTCATAATCCTCCTTTGTGTATCTTGGGTAATGCAACGGCATCTTAAACCCACTGCTTGAGGCCTCTACGGCACCGTTTTTGTCAAGATTCTCCATATTTTCCTGATTGTTGGCATGGTTCAGAAAGTTAAGAAGCCAATTACTCACCTTCCCCATCTCTCTCTCTCGCTCTTTCTTTTTTTGTTTGTTTGTATATGATCGATTGTGTTGCTTGTGTGTTTATATATAGAGAGCTACGTTGAGATTACGTGAAGAGAAAGAAATGACACATTACATGAATTTAAGGGTAAATTTTAATACACCATTAATTATAACATTTATATAAGCCACCTCATTAGTTCGATTAAGGAAGGAATAAGGGGAATGAATTGGGTTTTAATCATTGAAGATATTTTTGTGATTAAGAACAATACCACAAAGGGGAAGAGCACTCATCAAAAGAAAAGAAAAAATAGAAGAGACGAATATTATTTTGTAAGTTAGTAGCGTTTGGTGAAGAGCACATTATTTTAGCTATGAATGGAATTGCGTGAGTAGTTAATTAAGAAGGAGATGTACGTAATTATGAATTTATAATCACGAATATTACTGCCTGTATATACATCACCGTCTCATTCAATTATATCATGTTACTTTTCGTTTAAGAATGTATTTACACAAAATATCTTTACACTGATAAACCGGAAAACGTAAGAGAATTAATGAGTCAGGGTCTCAGGGACGTGAAGAAGCTAGAAGTATATCAATATATCATGAAGAAATTTTCTTTTAGCGGTTTTAAAAAAACAGAAAGAAAAGTTATGCCTCAAAGTCAGTCCAATGTTTTCCACATATGCTATGCTCTGGACAAGTATATGCTTTGTACCACCATACAAATAAATAATAAAATGTGAGATAGAATATTTAAAAGTACTTCGGGTGTCAAGAAATTGACTAATATGATAAATTGTATTTTATAAGAATTTTTAAATGGAGTTGGTTTCTTAAATAAGATGGCATGATCTATTTAAACTTTATGTTAATTACCACATGTACCATGAATTAATTGATTCCTTTAAAAACTTTATGTTAATTACCACATGTAATATGAATTAATTGAGTTCTTTCACAGATAAAAAGCTAGCTAATATCATCCCATTTTTTTGGCTACAAAATATAATCCCTTTATATACTCCACAAACACAACAATATCCAAAACATGTTTATGTGAAAAAAGCAATTACAGAATAATACTTACACGAGAGAATCAAGAAGAGCGATTGAGAGAATTGAAGAATTGTATGATGCTGTAATAGTAATGTGAATATCCTTGATACCTTTTTTTTTTTTTTTTTTCTCAATGAAGAAAGTCATTGAGTAATCATTGGATATATCGTGGAAAACGAACTGTCATAGGAAAGTTGACCGTACGATCTGAAGTGTGACACGTGGAGATTTTGACGGTTGGGATGACTTAATTTACATGTGAAAACAGAAGAAACAGTTGACTTTTGTTGATAGCGTTTAGTCGATCGAGCACAAAATTATCAAACATCACCAGTTCAAATAATTCTTAGGATTATTGATTGCATTGCAAGAAACAACACTAATGATGCCCCAAAAACCACGAACTGTGATCTGTGTCGGAGACATCCATGGAAACATATCACTGCTTAATAAACTCTGGCTTAATCTTCAATCCGACATCGAACAATCAGATTTCAACTCAGCTCTCGTCATCTTCCTCGGCGATTACTGCGATCGTGGACCGGAGACTAAAAAAGTCATCGACTTCTTGATCTCTTTGCCGGAGAAACATCCCGAGCAGACTGCAGACCCATGTCTTTCTTGCCGGAAACCACGACTTTGCTTTTGCTGGGTTCTTGGGTTTGTTACCTCGTCCTTCAAATGGGTCTGATTTTAAGGATACATGGAAGGAGTACTCAAAAAGTGAGGAGAGAGAAGGATGGTATAAAGGTGAAGGGTTTGAGGATATGCATCTCCAAAGTAGGAGATGGGCGGGAAAGATTAGGGATCAGTTCGATTATTCCGCATATGGAGTGTTGTATAATGGATCGATATACGATGCTGCCTCGACTTTTGAATCCTATGGCGTTCCTCATGGATCTTCTGGTAACATTCTCCATTGATTCTTCTCTCTGGTTATAGTTTAAGAGTAGTTGTTTACATGTCGTGGAAACTGTAAATTTACTTCAAATAATATTGTGAATTTGGTGAATATGCAATGATTGAATCTTTCTCGATTCGGAGTTTTCATGTTTCTCATCTTTTATGCTGGTGAAATTATGAAATTCTTAAAACTGTTTTGGATCTTTTGTTATTGGTTTTGAAACTTGTTTGTTTTCTATTCCTTGATAGATTTGATAAATGCAGTATCTGAGAGTCACAAGAAGTTCTTGACCAATATGGTATGGGTCCATGAAGAGGTAAGCGCTTTTTCTCTTTGACATTTGACATTTGTAGGAACAGAAGTTGAGTAATTATAGAACAAACGATTGTTGTCTTAGCAAGCATAAGGCTAAATTCGTAGGAAATGTGTAATAATAGTTATCATGTGCCCATTTGTTGATACTATTGCAGGAAGATGTTTGTATAGAAACAGAGAAAGGGCTTAAGCATTGTAAGTTGATAGCTGTACATGCTGGTTTAGAGAAAGGGAATAACGTAGAAGAACAGCTTAAACTATTGAGAGCTAAAGACACAAGCATTCCAAGGATACAACATGAACCTCTAACTGGTCGGAAAACCGTTTGGGACATCCCACGGGTATAAAAAAAACATCGAAAGAACAAAACTTTGTGTTAAGTTCTTGCTCTGTTTTTGAAATCTATTTGTATATATGATTTTGTTTTCTTATCTGGAACATTCTATAGGAACTAGATGATAAACAGACTCTTATAGTTAGCGGCCACCACGGGAAACTTCACATTGATGGCTTGAGATTGATCATCGATGAAGGCGGTGGATACGCCGATAAACCCTTGGCTGCAATTGTTCTTCCTTCTAAGAAGATTATCCGCGACACCGATAATTTTTCTAATTAAGTATCTACTGTCTTTATATTAGGGGGGTGTATTGAAGAAAGAATTTAGAGTGATTTGAGTTTTAATGAGTTTTGAAATGATTTTGGTGAATTTTGGTGAATTAGGAAATTTGTTATTAAAATACTCTCAAATCCCACCTAAAACCATGAGATTTGGATGTTTGAATTTTTAACTAAGATATTCTCTGAAATCCCACCCAAAGTCACTCAAGTCACTTCAAATCCACAACTTAAAATATTTCCAATAACAGTGGATTTGATTGTAGATTTTAAAATCACTAATCCAATAATACTTGATTTTAGAAAAAAATTTAGAATTCATGTTTGAATAACATAGGATTTAAAATTTTAATACAAATTATTTCAAATCCTCTATTGAATACACCCCCTAAGACTGATACCAAAACAAAAAATTGAAACTTCTAAAATTTTGCATGATGTTAGCTTATGAACCACCAATTTAAAAAGGAGATAAAAAAAACTAGACGACCAAAAAAACATGCTATTATTTCGAAATAATATATATAGTATATATAGCCACAGGCCCACGAAGCCCACAAGTACATTATCATCATTTCAAGAAACAGAGACTAATGGCGCAAAAACCACGAACGGTGCTCTGCGTCGGAGACATCCATGGATATATATCAAAGCTCAATAACCTCTGGCTTAATCTCCAATCCGCCATCGACCCATCAGAATTCAGCTCAGCTCTCGTCATCTTCCTCGGCGATTACTGCGATCGGGGACCGGAGACCGGAAAAGTCATTGATTTCTTAATCTCTCTACCGGAGAAACATCCCGATCAAACTCACGTCTTTCTCGCCGGGAACCACGACTTCGCCTTCTCTGGGTTCTTGGGTTTGTTGCCCCGTCCTTCAGATGGGTCTGATTTGAAGGATACGTGGAAGGAGTACGAGGGTAGCGAGGAGAGAGAAGGATGGTATAGAGGTGAAGGGTTTGAGGATATGCATCTTCAAGGTAGGAGATGGGCTGGTAAAATTAAGGCTACGTTCAATTCTGTGAAAGGGATGGCTTATAAGGGTTCGATTTACGATGCTGGTTCGACTTTTGAATCTTATGGTGTTCCTCATGGATCTTCTGGTAAAACTCTCAATCATTGTGTTTTGGATTCTTCTTAGGTTATAATTAGTAGAAACTTGTAAACTGGTGGAACTGGTTTGTGAAATTTGGTAATTTTAAGCTGTGATTGAATCTGTACACATATCAATCCTCTCGTACATGTTCTTCTTACTATCATTCCAAGTAAATGTTGTGAATTTGGTGGTCAGGCAACGATTGGATATCATATTTCAGGATAGAGCTATGTGGTTGGATAAAATTTGAATCTTTCTTGATTTGGAGTTTACATATGACGTTTTAATACTTGTTTGTTATCTATGCCGTTGATAGATTTGATGAAGGCAGTACCTGAGAGTCACAAGAAGTTCTTGACCAATATGGTCTGGGTTCATGAAGAGGTACGGGCCCTTTTCTCCTACCGTGCTACCCTGTGATGTTTGTAGGAATAGTAGTTGAGTGGTTAAAAACTCAAAACTTTAGACTTACAAAACCCATTAGAAAGTAATAGCCCTGCCAATTCCAACAAAGGGTGTCTGTTTTAAGTTTTATGCATAGGAAAAATATGTAGTAATAGCTATCATATGTCCATTTGTTGATTCGATTGCAGGACGATGTTTGTATAGATACCGAGGAAGGGCTTAAGCATTGTAAGTTGATCGCCGTACATGCTGGTTTAGAGAAAGGGAATAACGTAGAAGAACAACTGAAGCTTTTGAGAGCCAAAGACACTAGCATTTCAAAAATACAACATCTAAGTGGTCGGAAAAACGTTTGGGACATCCCACAGGTAAGTCATTGAAAGAATCAAACTTTGTGTTAAGATCTTGCTCAGTTTTTAAAATCTCTTTTCTCTAAAACATTCTTCAGGAGCTGGATGATGAACATACTGTTGTTGTTAGCGGGCACCATGGAAAACTTCACATCGATGGCATGAGATTGATAATCGATGAAGGCGGTGGATTCCCGGATAAACCTGTGGCAGCAATTGTTCTTCCTTCCAAGAAGATTATCCGCGACACCGATAATTTGTCTAGTTAAGTTGTTCTCATCTATCTATTGTACCAACGTAAATTTTGATTTCAAAATCATTGTAGTAAGGCTAGCACTAAATTTCAGCTATTTAATTTACTTTTCTTACAAAGAAAATAAATGAGCCTCTGTACATCAAACTTATTTCCACACTTAAAGCCTCGCAAATCCAATAAGCCAAGATTTATGTAGCGGTCTAGTTATATAATAAGGCTCGAAATTTATTGGGTTGTTCAAAAAAAGCCCAAAAAACTACAATCCATTTTTAATCAAAATTATTAGAATAAAACAAAAAATGGGCCCAATAAAAGGGCAAAAAAGGACATATAAGAAAAGGAGTTGTCAGAAAGTGCAAACACATGCTTACTTAATTTTCAGTATAAAACAATGACAGCTGTTTACTTCGGTTGGTTCACGTGAATCGAATTTTGGTATATGAACAAAATTCCCAAGCCTAAGCGGATAACCAAAATTCGACTCGATTTGTTGATAAACCAAGAAGTTTTCTTTTTTCGAATGAACTACTGAACTAGAAACTTTATTTTCTAGGATGACACTCTGCTGTATCCCGAAAAAAATGGCACCATCCAACTTGACAAAATTAAGAACTTCGTTTTGTAGGATTTTTATAAAATATTGAAATTGTTTTAGTTATCATGTATGTAACGTGAAAGTTGAACAATTTCGCTGGATTGTGTATATATTTTAGTTAAAATATGGTTGTTGACGCAGAATCTAGTTAGTTGTTCAGCTGAAGGAATGTGTATCTCAGTGTGTACATTATATATATATCATTTAAATATGTGACATAATAATTTGACACGAGATTTCCATGATTTCGACAATAATATGTCCAGAGTTCTTTTGGTACAACACCAGAGAATTTCCAGACAGCATCTAGACTAGATCACTTCTTTCTCTGACTATTATCTGTTTATGTCAAAACAGATCATATTTTTGACATTAATAGAAAGTTACGTCCATTTGGGTCATTCAAGTGTACACTGATTTTTAGGAGTGGATTTTTCAATAGAAAGCTTTATGTAGTGACTCAACGTACATGATAAATAGTTCGTGGATAGTCGAAATTCTAATCCTAGAAAAACTCGAATCTAGAGTCCAACTTCAACACACACAAAAAAAATTGTCAACTGCAACAATTCGCTGAAGGTAATCCAAAAAGTTACATCATTATTTTTTGGTGCCAAACAATATGCGTACTTGCGTAGTATAGTTGATCCATGATATAGAGTTGTTGACCAACATATAAAGGTTATTTTAAACACACCGTATTATTAGAAATATTCATCTGATCATCTCTTTGATTAATTACCATCATCGTAATTAACGAAGAAAAATAAACAACGCAATGATATGTCTCATATGGACGAAGAAGAAAGAATGGGAAGTATCTTTGTGTTTTGGCAGTTACGCTAATCCAACTGACACCCCCAAAGATTCTGGCCCCTACGAAACCATTGTTGTCGTTGTACGTATTTACATTTGATTTCTTACAATATTCTAAGTACATAAATGTAATGGTAATAAATTGATGGGTCCATTTAGTCAAAAATAATAATATTGCTAGGTCATACTCTTGTATAATAGGGAGTGTATATCATAACTGATTAATTATATATATTTAAGGTTCGAATAAGATCGCATAACACTAACAGTGGCATACGTTTTCATTTATTAAATTTTTTGCGTCATAAAGTACAAAGATTCCGTAATAATTACCATTAACTATAATCCCCTATATATTAATAGAGAAACATTTTTTAAAAAAACCTTACCATCATGTGTTATTAACAAGATTTCGTTCTCACAATGATTTGACTTCTATTTAGATAATTACCCAAGATTTATTAAACTATTTACAGAATTTGCCATTAGTCTTATACATCCATATATCCTATTAATAATTAAAAACATACACTTTTTGTTTATCATATATTACTATATTTTTATATTTATATTTTTCTTTATATACATTTATATAAATTTTCTTTAGCGGATGGATAAACAATCGTTTTATTTATATTTATATTTATGTTTATATTTAAATGATAAAATATATACATTTGGTTCAAGAATCTCGAATTCAAAACTACAAAATCTTTACATCTTTCAGAATTTTTTTATTTAAATAAATAAGAAAATCTATTTTCTATATATGTTACGAATACTTAAAATCCTATTTTTTGGAGGAGTTCTAACTTTTCGAAGAAAAACATTCTAACCACATTTGTATATAAACCAAAATCTGGCCACATTATAACTATTTCGTAAATAATCCATTCATAATCTAAGAATCTTAGATTTGGAACACTACAAAATCTTAGTTTGGAAACTATCAAATCTCATCTTTGCTAAATTTTAGATTTCTTATACTTATTAATTTTTTTTTTTTTTTTATACTACAAAATCTCGAAATCTTTAAAACATACGGAAAGACATATTGCCATAAATGGTAACATTTCGTCAATACTTTTTAATCACGTTGAAGCTTTATTCAATGTTCAAATATTTCACGGGTAAAACATATTCTTATATGAAATAGTCCCAAATTTGAATAAAACAAAAAAAATTTGTAACATGTTTCGTTTTACACAAACGGATCTTGGATCTCGGATAATAATTTTAATCATAATAATTTTACTTGAATCACTTCATCCCGCACATCGTGCGGGTTGTTATCTAGTATATTTGTAAAAGAAAAAAAAAAACTAAACTATAGTATATTTGTAATACAATTATCTTCTATTTAGATAATTACCCAAGATTTATTAAACTATTTACAGAATTTGCCATTAGTCTTATACATTCATATATCCCATTAATAATTAAAAACATACACTTTTTGTTTATCATATATTACTATATTTTTATATTTATATTTTTCTTTATATACATTTATATAAATTTTCTTTAGCGGATGGATAAACAATCGTTTTATTTATATTTATATTTATGTTTATATTTAAATGATAAAATATATATATTTGGTTCAAGAATCTCGAATTCAAAACTACAAAATCTTTACATCTTTCATAATTTTTTTACTTAAATAAATAAGAAAATCTATTTTCTATATATGTTACGAATAC